GTGTTTTGAATGGTGTATCTTTTGGCGTCAGGTGTGGCAGGGAGGGTTCTTGTTTGTTGGGATAGTTCGGGTGGTGTGAGGGAGGAGATAGAGGTTGGGGCATTCTCAGTGTCCTGTTTGTTCAGATGTGTGGAGGATGGTTTTCCGTTGGGTTGTTTATCGGTGTGTATGGTCTAATGCAGGGTAGAAGAGGCGGACATTTCTGGAGGAGTTAGCGTGTGTTGTGTTTCGGTGGGAGTCACCTTGGTGTGTAGGGGGTGAATTTTATTTGGTGAGATAGCCGGGAGAAAAGTCTTGGTGGGGATCGGTTTTCACGGTGATCGCGGACTTTTTCTGATTTATCGATGAGTTGCAATTGGTGATATCCTTTACAGGCAGGAGGAATTATCAGTTCACCATGGTCTCGAGGACGGTCTTTTTTCTCGGATTGATCGTTTTCTGGTAACAAGAGATTGGGAGAAGCATTTTCCAGGGGCAGTTCAGTGACGGTTGTCCAGTCAGTTTCTATATATTGCCAATTTCTATGGATTAGTGGGGGTATTTGGTGGAAGTCCTCCTTTTTTGTTTTGAGAATTATGTGGCTCGTCGGTCGGATTGGGTTTGCTGATAGGTGTGAAGCGATGGTGGGAATAGCTATGTGTATCACGGTTCTATGACCACCCCAAATCTCCTATATGACATCCCTCCCCAGACACTCCATTTTGGCCTCCTGAAAACAAACCACATCTGCTTTTTCACCTCTCAGCAACGCTCCCACTGCCACACGCTTTTCCCTGTCATTCAAGCCACCCACATTCCAAGATAAAATCTCCAGTCTCATTTCAACAAAAGTCGTTTCTCCCTTCCACGCCTCCCTTTCTTCCCTTGCTCCCCAACACGACGATCATAATTAATCGAGCACTCTAAATTTCGCAGCTCCCTTTCCCCTTTCTGACGATAAGCCCCACTCCGAACCACATCTGTTGACGAGACCCTACTACGCCAAGACATCTCTACTGCCAAAAATAAACTCATAGCCTCTGCCTCGTGCCCATCAAAAGAAATTCCCAACAACGGACTCACCTTGCCAATTCTTTCCGAAACCCAATCAGAAACCTTCGAGGCTGAAGGCTCTAAACCCCCAAAGCAGTCTCCAGCAAACGGCCCTCCTCCACCCGTCCCATCATGCAACATTGCAAGCGGCTGAAAAAAGCTAGGACTGGCAGCCTCCTCATCCCCGACCAAACCCAAACCAGCGTCTGAATCCTCCACCAAGTCTTCCCACTTTTCAGACACTTGCGAAGACATGCCGCCCTCCACTTGTGACTCCCGCATCGAAACCGCAGCCCAAACCGCACTCGCTAGAACTTCCTGTGAATGAAGCTCTGTCTCTACCCCAACCACACCAGTCAACCCCTCTGAAATCCTCTCCTCTAGAGTCGTCCCTACTGGATAGTCATAACCAACCTCCCCATCTCCCACCACTGACGGCGCAGGAACATATTGGAAGCCCCCCTCATACCAATCGACCGAGATGTCCACAAGCCCACACACAGGATCCGTCAAATGTAGCTCCGACGTTTGGCGAACTGTCCAACTCCCGTCGACAGTCAAAGTCGCCTCGCCTCCAGGCCCCAACGCTCCAGTCAGCGATCCAAAAACTCGTCGAATAGTAGGGTTCACGTTTCAAGAAACAATCTGACAAAATGGACCCCCGACAGCTCCAGGCCCCAACGCTCCAGTCAGCGATCCGAAAACTCGTCGAATAGTAGGGTTCACGTTTCAAGAAACAATCCGACAAAATGGACCCCCGACAGTTGTGTGACGACTTGGGCCAAAACTAGGAGGCCGAATAACTGGGCCAAAGAGCCGATGACTCCACCGATGAGTGGGTCGCCTAACTAGCATAATTGGTCGAGCCAAAGGCTGTGTCCAAAACTACCATCATTTGAGAGGCCCAGTCCATTTAGCCGCCTGCCCAATCCATTTAGCCGCCCTTCCCTAAATTGATGACCAGCCCATTCTGCCTTGCCTCACTTTTAAATCCAGGCCCAAGTGAGTGACCCAGGCCCACTGCCCGCTGCCCAAAACCAACAGCTGCTCACCCATTAAGATAAGGCCGAGATCTTCGCACAAGATTATGCGCCGTGAATCTCGTGCGAGTAACAGAGCTCCACTCCCTCGCCGACCTCCTCATCTCCGGCAACCGCATATAACACCGCCCCCCTGGCGACCACCAAGACTGACTTTGTCGCGTCCACCCCCAACCAAGATTGAAGCCCTCGAGCACCAAAGCTAGACCTTTCCAACTTCCATCCGCCGTCGGAATGAAGATCTGACAACGAGTGGGCCCCCACGACATAACCACCTACACCACACAGCCAATCTGCTCCGTCCTTAGCCAAGTGGCCACACTCCGGCGACCACCCGACACACGACCCAGAAACAAACCACAGTCCACCGTCGCCTCAGCTTGCTGTAAACGTGCGACCAACCACCGTATCTCAGCTCCAAATAGAACTATCTCACTGTGTCAATCGTGGCCGCGCTCCACCACTGACAGACGACGTCGATCTCTGGAATTCGTACCAATATCTTGAATCCCATAAGACTGTGAACCTAAAAACAACAACCGCCGGCGAGGACCATATTCCGGTACCAACAAAGGGTTGGCCATCAACAAGTTTTAACATACCCCACTTCCTCGAACATTTAACACAGGAACTAATCTCTAATCTCATATAGTTAACCATCTGTCATGAGTCTTGTGTGTTTAGCTTCTTCTTTTTCTTCTTCTTCTTATGTGTTTTCTTTAAATGAATGAAAGAAGATAGTCAAGAATCAATCACCCATTTTTTAATGATAAAAACAATTTGTTGCATCATGTGTAAACTAACTAAAGGTCATCTATCTTTAACTGACTCGTTGTCAATTTGCTTCCACACAGGTCTATCAAAGAAGCATCAATTTTACATAATTGCAATGCCTTCTTAACAAAATAAAAATTAAATGGTGATTCCTCATTTAATAGTCACCCATTTGAAAATTTTAACAGGCATAACACCCCCAAAAGTTAAAAGTATAAGCACCGTAACATTTGTCCACAAAAGTTTCAGTCTCATTACTCAATAGCTGGTCGGTGGCTATGGAAAAAAACAAAAATCCATGAAAAAGTTCCAATATTTAGAACCGATGTGCTCTGTCTGTCTGATCATGCCTCTCGGCTTCCTTCTCTCACGTCACAAAATTTCTAAAACTTGAGGAAGAATTGAAATGTTCAGACAACACTCACTCAATACTAGATTCAACTTGAAATTACTGTCGTAAGTATACATTTAATGTTTGAATGGAATATTATGACTTCAAGATCACATACTCGATTTCATATCATTCAAATCAAAAGTTACCATTCCAAACTTAGTAACGACAAATTTCTATGTCATTTATTAAACTAATCACAGTAAACTGTTATGATGTTACTGTAACAACCAATCATTCAATAACGGCTTCAATGATGTCAAAATATTTAATAAGTGAAAAAACAATACCTGAGGGTTCTGCAAGTTGAAGACTATAAGATTTCTATCTGCAGTCCCAACAACCATCAGTGGATGTCTCACTGTAAATGCATAGCAACGCTCAGGAAGTTGTTGAGTATGCACTGGATTTGACTGTCTCAGATCCCAATACCTGAAATCGGGTAATTTATGATTAAAATACTGACTTAACAAAATTATAAGTCCAAACATGAGATGTGCAACAACAAAAAGTCATATAAACAATAAATCAAGTGCAAAGGAAATCAATCAGAGTGTGCTAGAGCATACATTTACAACAGAAAGATAGTTAATAACATAAAATAAAAACTAAACGACGCAGAAGTAAAAGCACTAAAGTCTAGATGAAATATGAGTCACGAATGTTATACTATCAAGGGCATCATCAGTTGTAAAATAGCAAATGTGTTAATGGTTCCTTTCCAAATTCTGTGAGTTTATCAAGATTAGATAATGACACAGATTCAGCTTCTTATCTGTGAAATTTTCCCCAAAGCAATTCACCACAGAAAAGAAAGGAAGGAAAAGAGAGGATATATCTTATTCCTTTAGTTTTTAAGGCAGTAATCTATAAATTTCAAAAGTTTCCTTGAAGCCAAGCACAGAAAAATGCTCTATTTAATTAGAATGAGGTGTTAGCATAAATCTGCATGCAAAATTATACTCTTAGGCCTAGTTATTATTTTATAGCTAGAGACATGTGTACATATGCGTCTCTTCTTTCGCATGAAGCACAATGTACAACATACTATCCTACACATAGAAAAGACACAAATAATAGGAAAACTACCAAAAAAGAAACTGTTCCAGATGAAGTTGCCTGGAAGGAGAACCTCTATTAACCTAGACTGCAAGCTGTTTTGCTACATAAACCAACAACTTAGCTAAAATTTGAATCAAATATGAATTGATGACAATGTGATAAGACTGTACCATTAAATCCAGCATTTCAAAAGTAAAGAATCATATAGGCGATTTAACATATTAGAGTGTAAATAAATAATAAAAAAAAATCAGAATCAAATTACAGGTTTGAGAACTAAATCAATGCTTACCTCAGAGTTTTGTCCCAGCTTCCACTGACTAAGAGGTTCATCTCGGGGATCCATGCAATTTCCTTAACAGGTGCATCATGCATGGCCACAGTCACTGGTTGGCCACCAGAGAGTAATGGCCACATCTTAACTTGCTTGTCACATCCCCCAGAGAAAACAGTTGTGCCATCATCCTTCCAAGTTGAGCATAAAACCTTCAAAAGATAAAACAATCAATTACCACATTTTCAAACTCAAAATCAGCAGAATAGTTTGCAAACACTCTGGAGATTTGATATGATACCGGCTGGTCATGTGACATTGATGCCTTGGGCACACTACCAACAGTGGTCCCAGTCCGCATTATCTCCCAACATCGCACCTATGGAAATACATAAGACAATATAGAAGCGGAGTTTAGTATATCACAGTAACAAGAAGTACAAGACACCATCTGGATAGAAATAAAGGAATTTTGACAACATAAATGAAACAAAACCTAAGAGCATTTGGCAGCAAGGAGAAAGAGAGAGCTCATGCAGTAGAATAGTCCCCATAATACCTCAAAACATTTTCCAAAAAAACCTTAGTTGGTTGCAATGGGAATATGGGATACTCAAATCACAAAAATTTGGTTATGTTTTGGTCTTGTTCAGGTCTCTTCAAATTTAAATAAAAAAAACCACACATACACACACACACATCGTAGATGTTTTGGCCCAGGTGGATTAAGGTCTTTCTTTCCTCTTCTTCGGTGAAGTATGGCAATTTCTTTTCTTTTTCTTTTCCTTTTTTATTTTTTTCCTTTTTTAGTCATTTAGAATCTAAAACAACTAATGCTTTTGATAATTGCTAAAAAAAATTTTTTTTTTTTTTTTTTTTTTTTTGAGGGGGGATGTGGGAAAGTTGGTTTTTTTAGTCTTTTATTTTTTGGTTAGATAAACCTCACTTTACCCCCTATGGTTTGGGTCATGTGTAGTTTACCCTTAACATTTGGAAATGACCACATAACCTCCACGTGGTTTGTGAATTAAAGTGCAGCGTTAAACATTTTGTTCAACTTAACAGCAAGTGTGAAATACGTGACAGACATAAGGGGGTTATATGCTCATTTTCAAATTTCATGGGGGTAAATGGCACATGGAATAAAACACAGGGGGTTACAGTGCACTTTACCTTTCAAACAAATGACAAAATATAAGGGTATTTTTAGTCTTTTTCATTAAATTGTTAACAGATTCAACGGTACCCTTTAGTTCACAAACCAAAAGGGATTTATGTGGTCATTTTCAAATGTTAAAAGGTAAACTGCACATGACCCAAATTACAAGAGAGTAAAGTGAAGTTTGCCCTTTTTGGTTTTTTTTTGGCCAAAAGGCAGCTTTTTAAGCCCATGCCAATCGGAAATGTTTAATATGGTTTCTTGCCATGCATTTTTCTAAGCAACCAAACAGAACATCTTAAGAACAAGTATAAATGAAAATGTAGTTTGCATCAGTACTTCTTCAAGAGGTTTAGAATAACATGGCAAGGAAATAAGGAACAACAAACTAAAAATGAACAAAACAAACCTGGTTATCCCATGAACTTGCAACAAGGAAATTGGCCTTGGGACTGAAACAAAGACTTGATACAGAATCACTTGGAGCTTGCACCACCTACACATTTATACAAGCAACACATGTTACATACAAAAAATTACAAACCAAACTCGAATAGTTGTACTCTAGACTCAAATTAAGCAAAAAAGTCAAACAAAATGGCAAGTATATACAAACATAAATACATAATGAAGAATGCTAAAGACCCACAATTCAATTCACCCATGATGACATGGCAAGGTAGCTAGCTGGGCTTTTAAACGGTTGTGTTTGTAACAAATCAAACACATATCCTACCATGTCATTATGGATGAATTGTGCATTATAAATTGAGGGTCTCAATCCTTTTCCATACATGGTGGTTGTTTCTTTTCTTTTTTTTCTTTTTTTTTTTTTTTTGGTTAGGCTCATTTCGTCTTTAGTGAACGTTTTTTAAGTTTCTAAATTCTACTCCAAGGATGAACCGGAAAATAAAAAGAAAAATTTATAAAATGCCAAAATAAGTTCAGAAAGGAAAATAATAAGCAAAAAAATAATGGCCTTTTTTTGACTTATTTTGACATTTCCAATTTGTTTTTCGGAATTTTTCAAAAAAAATAATAATTTGACATAATTCTGAAAAAAAAAAAAAAAAAAATAAAAAAAAAAAAAAAAAAAAAGTCACAAAAACAAAACAAAACAAAACAAAAATCGAAAAAAGAGGAGGCTTATTTGGAGGTGTATAACCAACAGAACTATATAACGAAATTATATTCAAAGCTTAATCAAGTTCAAAAAATCAGCGAAAAAAATAAACAATGTGAAGTGATTAAACTTGAGAGTGGACAAACAATTACCTCAACCGACTTGTTCGGATTGGGATTCGCATTCGAAGCAGCACCGAAAGTGGCCATTGAAGCTGCCTATGCATAAATATCGAGAAACAAGAACACAGAGAAACCAAAACTGTGATTAGAATTGAAGATTAATTGCAAATTCCCAGTTCAACAATAGTGTCAAGATTTGAATGTCATAACCACAGCTAAAACAACAACAGTATCGGAGCACTATAAAAACCCTAATTTGACAACAAAGAATTCCAAAATATGCAAGTTGTAGAGAGAGAAAGAGAAAGGTACCTGTAGAGAGAGAGGGAAGAGAGAGAGAGAGCTTGAAACTGAGGAGAGATAGAGAGAGAGAGAGAGAGGGAGAGGCGTATGCTATATATATGTGTCCCAAAAAGAGTGATATACAGACCCCCCACACGCGTTGCGCGGACGCTACGGGTTGTATAGTGTTCTTGCAACGCTAACCATCGGGTCGAAAATGGGTTATCGGGTCGGGATATGTCGGTTCACCGCTTCAGCGTCAATGAAAAGATAGGGGTAGTTTTGGAATATCTAAATAAGTATATTTTTTGACTTTTTGTGAAGTATGGATTGAGTTTAAAGTAATGTGGTAGAGAGATAATATAGGATAGTGACATTTTGACTTTTTGACTTTTTTAGATTACCTCAAACAAGGTCTTATGACCGATTAGTAAAGCACTATTTCACATAAATTTTTTAGTTTTTTTTTTTTTTGGGTTATTTTAATAGTTTTTTTAGGCTCTGTTTGGTTAGAACCCTGCAATTCTAAGGCCTAGTTTGGGATCTACTATATAATCCATCTTTTTATCTTTTTATCTTTTTTTCATCACATCACCTCCCTACTTTTCTACACATCTTTTCGTAAAAAGACAAAAAATACACTTTTTTAGGGCACCCCAAACCAACCCTAAGCCTTTGTTTGGATATGGTTCTTAAAAATTAATTCCCATCCAACATTGCAAAACACATATCAGAACATGTTTGGCAAGCTCTCGGGTATCTCTATTTACACATCACCTTTCATCTCAAGATACACTACTACTCAGGACACACCTTTAATAATTTAATAAATAAGAAATTTACTCAATACACACCATAATCTTCCATCTTTACCCTTACTCACTCACACGCCCCACCCACAATACAAAAATTTTATAAACTGATTTTTGTTTATTTTTAGAAAAACATAAACTACAAACACGTTTGGTAATTGACAAAATGTTTAAAAAAAAAATTAAATATAAAAAAGAGTGAGAAATGGCTAGTGGTGGCAAGTGGCGACGGAAGACGGTGGTGGAAAGTGGTGTCGGTGGGTGGTGGGTGGTAGTGGTGGGTGGGTGGGTGACGGTGGTGGATGGTAGCGAGTGGGTGGTGCTGGTGGCAGGTGGGTGGCGAGTGGTGGTGGGGGGTGGAGGGTGGGTGGTGGGTGGTGGTAGCGGAAAACGGTGGTGGAAAATGGTAGCGGGTGGTGGCTAATGTTGAGTGATAAAAAAAAAACTGAAAACTCAAAATGGAAACACATTTTTTATGTCTTCATTTTTTGGCCAAATTTATAAACTGAGACCACTGATTTATAAATCAAAAATTTTACCAAACAAGTTTTTATTTGAGTTTTTAAAATTTTTGTAAATATAAACAGAAAACTGAAAACGTAAGTGTTACCAAACGGCACCATAGTGTTCTTGCAACGCTAACCGTTGGGTCGAAAATGGGTTATCGGGTTGGGATATGTCGGTTTACCGCTTCAGCGTCAATGAAAAGATAGGGGTAGTTTGGGAATATCTAAATAAGTATACTTTTTGATTCTTTGTGAAGTATGGATTGAGTTTGAAGTAATGTGGTAGAGAGGTGATATGACTTAAGGGGTTGTTTGGGATGACCTAAATAAGTGCACTTTTTGTCTTTTTACGAAAAAATGTGCAGAAAAGTAGAGAGATGATGTGATGGAAAAAAGATAAAAAGATAAAAAGTGTGTACTTATTTAGGATAGCCAAACTTGGCCTAAATAGGATAGTGACATTTTGACTTTTTGACTTTTTTAGATTACCCCAAACAAGGTCTTATGACCGATTAGTAGGGCACTATTTCACATAAATTTTTTAGTTTTCTTTTCTTTTTTTTTTTGGTTATTTTAATAGTTTTTTTAGGCTCTATTTGGTTAGAACCCTGCGATTCTAAGCCTTTGTTTGGATATGGTTCTTAAAAATTAATTCCCATCCAACATTGCAAAACACATATCAGAACATGTTTGGCAAGCTCTCGGGTATCTCTATTTACACATCACCTTTCATCTCAAGATACACCACTACTCAGGACACACCACTACTCAGGACACACCTTTAATAATTTAATAAATAAGAAATTTACTCAATACACACCATAATCTTCCATCTTTACCCTTACTCACTCACACACCCCACCCACAATATTCAATCTTCCATATTCTACACGTCCACTTCAAAAACACACACGTCCCCCTCCATTCTCTATTTTATTGTCATCCCAAAGGTTTGGGAATCAGTCTAAACCGATCGCCGTTCATGAAGACAACTTTACTCCATACTCCTCTAATTCACGACCCCCTCCATGGATGCACAGTTCTAGAAAAACTTTTTTTAAAAAAAAATTGTTGTAAGTGTTCAGAAATATAGAGTCAAGCTAAATTCAAAAGTTCGATTGTTGAAAACCAAACAAATGCTATAAGTTTAGAATTTATTAACCGAATATGTGGATTATGTTCGACACTAGAAAATCGAACAATTAGAACTTGTACGGTTGTAGATAGTCAAACATGAGTACATTGTTCGAATCTGGGTATTCGAATGTATAATGCCCCAAGTTCTGAGCTGTTAATAGATCAACTCAACCTCAAATTTAAACCTCTAACTAATTAATAACCTCAAAAAAAAATAAAAATTTATATCACACAAATGTATCCAAAATATATCTTATACAAATCTCAAAATAATAATAATAATAATAATAATAACATATAGTGGTGACTCCAAAATATATAACTCTAATAATCATTTTTAGAACTTTAAATCTAATCTCCACTAAATTGCTCCGCACCTGAAAAATAAATTAATTCGGAAAGTATACAATACGACATGAATAACAAAGCTCGAACAAAGAATAAATTCACAGGGATCCAATAATTACATAAATGATTCAATTTGAGATACCAAGCAATTTACCAAATTATACAAACAAGTTAACTCAACATATGATAATTTATCTAGGACCAAATACCTGGTCCTACTCAATACATGACCAGTGACCAGTCTCACCCCTCACCCAAGCACAATCGCTTATTCGGGCTATTGGTACAAAGCATATTGGCAAAGTCTACTCAATCCATGTACGGAGCATTTTCACGTCATTTAGCCAGACAAAGAAACATTTCCAACACAGAATAACTACACAGAGTTCATCAAATGACTAGAGTAATCAAACGAATCAACAACGAATAATTCCACAAAAGTTATCAAATTATATAAATCATCAATAGGTGTACAAATTAAAGGTGATTAAAATAACACAGTTTGCAAGAAGATTTAAAGGAATCATATTGTATACCACCTGAATTACCTCAATTCAATCTCCACCGTCGCCAACACTCTAATCTCGATATTTCTTCAAGGATCTCCAAAAATAACTCTGATCTTACTTTGATAAAATCTACAACTCTCATCTGCTATATCACCAAGGCGAAACAGAATTTCCAAATTTAAAACCACTTAAATATTGAAATTAAAAGGACCATTTCATATTTTTGCCGTGCCCGAATTTCTTATGGTTCGTAGAGAATTTTATCAAGTTTTTAGAACATTTTTCAGAAATGGAATAGCTTTCCTAAATGTTTTGTTATTTAAGAAACACTCCAGCGCTGTCCAGATTCGTCGACCATTACGAAAATCAGATTTTATCACAAACCGCTCACTAGTTTCTAATGAAACCAATTTTCCTTGAAATCTAACTCTTTAAGAAAGGTTTAATGGGTTATCGGGTTGGGATATGTCGGTTTACCGCTTCAGCGTCAATGAAAAGATAGGGGTAGTTTGGGAATATCTAAATAAGTATACTTTTTGATTCTTTGTGAAGTATGGATTGAGTTTGAAGTAATGTGGTAGAGAGGTGATATGACTTAAGGGGTTGTTTGGGATGACCTAAATAAGTGCACTTTTTGTCTTTTTACGAAAAAATGTGCAGAAAAGTAGAGAGATGATGTGATGGAAAAAAGATAAAAAGATAAAAAGTGTGTACTTATTTAGGATAGCCAAACTTGGCCTAAATAGGATAGTGACATTTTGACTTTTTGACTTTTTTAGATTACCCCAAACAAGGTCTTATGACCGATTAGTAGGGCACTATTTCACATAAATTTTTTAGTTTTCTTTTCTTTTTTTTTTTGGTTATTTTAATAGTTTTTTTAGGCTCTATTTGGTTAGAACCCTGCGATTCTAAGCCTTTGTTTGGATATGGTTCTTAAAAATTAATTCCCATCCAACATTGCAAAACACATATCAGAACATGTTTGGCAAGCTCTCGGGTATCTCTATTTACACATCACCTTTCATCTCAAGATACACTACTACTCAGGACACACCTTTAATAATTTAATAAATAAGAAATTTACTCAATACACACCATAATCTTCCATCTTTACCCTTACTCACTCACACACCCCACCCACAATATTCAATCTTCCATATTCTACACGTCCACTTCAAAAACACACACGTCCCCCTCCATTCTCTATTTTATTGTCATCCCAAAGGTTTGGGAATCAGTCTAAACCGATCGCCGTTCATGAAGACAACTTTACTCCATACTCCTCTAATTCACGACCCCCTCCATGGATGCACAGTTCTAGAAAAACTTTTTTTAAAAAAAAATTGTTGTAAGTGTTCAGAAATATAGAGTCAAGCTAAATTCAAAAGTTCGATTGTTGAAAACCAAACAAATGCTATAAGTTTAGAATTTATTAACCGAATATGTGGATTATGTTCGACACTAGAAAATCGAACAATTAGAACTTGTACGGTTGTAGATAGTCAAACATGAGTACATTGTTCGAATCTGGGTATTCGAATGTATAATGCCCCAAGTTCTGAGCTGTTAATAGATCAACTCAACCTCAAATTTAAACCTCTAACTAATTAATAACCTCAAAAAAAAATAAAAATTTATATCACACAAATGTATCCAAAATATATCTTATACAAATCTCAAAATAATAATAATAATAAGAGATATGTAAGATATCTGAATTAATGTTGTAATTGTTATATCAGTTGGTTACAAGAGTGATGCTTATTTATAGAGCAAGCACCGAAAGGAGAAGACATAATAATGAAGGTGTGTAAGTGGTGTTTGACAGAATAATGAAAGTGTGTGA